AAAATGATTAGCATTATCATTATTAATATCTATAAAATATTAGTAGTGTCATTATTATCAAAGTTAATACTATCATAGCTTGGACTTAGTTTTCTTTAAAAGCGGCCTCAAATATTTCTCATAAGTATCATGAACCTAAAAATAATAATAAACAAATTATCAATACAAATTTAAAAAATGTTGGATCAAACAGGACTTATACATACAAATCAGACTACAGTTATCATGCAACAACAACCACATGCTCTTAAAAAGTTTAAACTAATATCAAATCAATCAAAAATTTTGAAAAAGAGGACAAATATTTAGACTACAATTGTTGTACAATAACCACCACTTTGTGCTCCTAGAAAATTATCCAGTAATATCAATCAAAAATTTACAAATTTTTCGAACATTATGCCTGTTGTGTAAATGTGAATAATACATGTCATTAGTTACCTCTTTCTTGTTCCTAGGGGCTCTTAGTGCCCATTGATACAAGTGTCTGTATACATCACCATCATAACGACCAAGACACGAGTTTAATATGTCATCATGAATATCAAATGCATCAACCAATGGAACTGCTTCATATCTAAAGAAAAAAATTAACTCTTACTTTGAATGCTTAAAATGATTAAAAACAGAATTTCAATATTGGTAATGTCAAAGTGCAAACCCAAAGGATGTGTGGTCAGACAGACATAAGAGTTTACCTCACTTCCTTTAGCAGGGAATAAAGCTGGTTCTTGGCCATTTCGATCTGATCACTATTCATATACCCATCCTACATAGTAATAATAATACACACAATCAGGGTTGAAAAGAATTTTCTCTTTTTATAATTTTTTCTAATGCATATACATGTTCATAAATTTTGAAGTGCTTCCAACCAGAATTTGAACTCCAAAATCAGACCAAAGTTCCTGTATTATAGTATAGAGTCTTTGGCCGAATTTTGCCAAAAATGACTAGGAGAGAATTTTCCATTTTTATGTTGTGTAGCAAGTTTGAGCTGATTCCAATCAAAATTGAATTTTTTACAAATTTTTAAAGTTACTCAAAAATTTGGCCAAAGTTCCTGTACTATAGTACAGTGATTTTGGACAAATTTCGCCAAAAATGACTAGAAAAGGATTTTTCATTTTTATATTTTTATTTGATACACGTACATGTTTTCATGTTGTGTAGCAAGTTTGAGCTGATTTCAATCAAAATTAAATTTTTTATGAATTTTTAAAGTTGCTCAAAATCATTAAAAAATTACTATTTTCTTACCAGGCAGAATTCTCCACTGTACTGCATTATACCAAAGAGTCCAAACAAGCAGCACAAAACTCTCATTATACTTAAATTAGTTTCACACATTTCAGCTGTATCTATACTGGACTGGAATGCTTTTAAAACAAGATAATGACAGTGAGCCTATAAATAAAAGTCACAATACTATCATGTGACTCTCACATGATACATAACATACTCTTGCTGCTACTGTCCAATCCACTGAAGAGTTATTCCAGGCAGCAACAGCATCCAATCCAGAGTCAATGCCATTCATGTACCTCCTTAATGCCACAGCAACTAACCTTTAAAATAATGAATGAATAAAAACAAAATATTGATGATAATAAGCTTCACAATTATTAGAGCCCTCATCAATCTTATGTTCACTGTCTCTTACCTAATCACTCTCTGGCGATATGCTTCCAGTAAAATGTGTGGATCATTAAATTGTTTTGGAGTCAAAACCGGGCTCTCCTTATACTTTGGATAATCGACTCCAAGATACGCCACATTGTTTGGCAACTGAGCCTGAGGAACTTTCTGTCTGGATATCTTCAAAAGATACCTGCAGAAAAAAAGGACAAGACATAAGAGAGGTACTTCAATTAGGTAACCTTGCTGTTTGGAGTAACATGACTGTGTTCTCTCCTTCATATGTCTGTGCTGGAGAATAATCAACATAAAGCTGAGGTAGACCACTAGCGGCTGAATATCCATGACCACCACAACACAACCTGCAGAGCTAAAAGAAAGATAAGAAACAGATACCTATTATAAAGAATACCTCAACACCATTAGAAGATATTTCAGAACAAAGAGCTTTTAAACCAGCACTGGTAGCATGAAGCTATAAAGAGAGGCTTAAATATAATAAAAAGGGTATTAGCTGATTTACTTCTGGTAGAGATTCAAGATTCCCTTCGGCAATTTCTCCAGTGATTCCAACATAAAGTTTGAGCATGTACTGACTAGCAAACTTCATAGCATAAGCAGAGGCCAATAGAGGAAAGAGCTTGAACTGCTGAGTTTGATAATCCAGTACTTGTGTCTCTGGCTCACTAAAAGCACAAAATAATTATACCACATAATACTCATGCATACAGTAGAGCAGGTGCTTCTATTTAATGGACACTTCTGTATAACAGACAAACTTTCTTGTCCCAAAGTGTTCATTATATAAAGGCTCCATTGCATACTTCACTATCTTACCCAGGTCTGTTCTGTGTCTGTCTTCTGACTACACTGTATCTGATTGCTATAGTAACAGCCCTGGCCAGGATGCTAGCCGACTGGACGACAATACCAGCTCTTACAAAAACCATAGTACCATACGTGATCTTATCAGTTGGAGGCTTTGAGTAAGTACCATCTCGTGATACCTAAAATGAATATTACTATGATTGAGTTCTTGGTATATTACCTGAGCATATTTCATTAGCATTTGATCTCTTGGTATCCTCACATTCGTCATGTGGAGGAAACCGTTGTCCATGCCAAAGTACCCAAACTTTGGTCCAATGTCTCCGACCTTTATTCCTTTAATAACCAGTTAATAACTGCTAGTTATTAATAGTTATTGTTACCTGGTAGTGGTCTATGGTCCTCAAGGCTACGTAGCTGCACAATGAACAAATGAATTCCTTCATCTTTTCCTTTGGTTATTAGTCTTGCAACAACCACAGCATGTGTGGCAGTATGACCAACTGTATGAATGTATTATAAATGTATGATGCATCTTGTACATAAGTACAGTTATAATTTTGTTAATTCTTACGTGTTCCAGGCCACCATTTCATTGAAGTAAGAGTTGGGGAATTGAGAACAAATTCCTCAGTCAAGGGGTCATAAGTTGCTGTAGTTTCAAGACCCC